GCATTACGGTTTGTATGCGTTTGGTAAGTGGCTACATGTTCTTGGTTCTCTAAATAACCCACTGTAAGGCTTTGAAAAGTGGTGATGCCCAAGTGACATGAATTACATCTGCGATTTATATAAATAGCCATTTTACCCACACTGCTAATTATGTGTAAAGTTTGGATGAATTTCATCTGAACTTCTCTGCATAAATACATGTGATTAGACGGCACCACTGAGGAAACTCATTTGCATGCCAGTGTGTGATGTGGACCTGCACCAAGTGTAATTTGCAAGCAAGTGTGCAGCTGAGCAAGCACTGATCATCTGAGCAGCATCTTTGGGAGAGTTTGCCGTTAATTAGGTTGGAAAAATACTAACTTGATGAGTTTAACTGATGCAATGAGCTGTATGTTAGTCATGCTGCTCAAATGAAGGGACATGGTGTGATAAGAGACCACTGGATTCACACCCCTCCCATGAGAGTAGTCTCAAAAACACCCTTGCTATACTTACAGCCTGTCTCTCTTTCTGTGCACCTGAGCCTCCCAATTAAAATCATGTGAACTGCAGATAGGGATCAAGAATTAAAAAAAACACAGAACTTTTAAACTAGGCCAAATTATTTTTGATTTTGTTGCAGGAAAAAAAAACTAAATTTCCATCATTAATACAATTATAGCATTCCACCTTTTGGTTCTAGGTATATTTGCAACACTCAGTTAAGTACATACTACATACTTCTACACTAAAATTGACAATGAATATATGCATCCACAAACCAGTCAAATTGCAAGCTACATCCATATCCAAAACGTCACCACTTGATCCTTTTTCCTGCATGAAATTATCATAACTACCATGTTAATGATTGAAAAACACATTTTGTGAGGTTCTATTCAACTTGTTACCTTTGACCATTAAAATCTAATCATTCATCCTTCAAGTCCAAGTGGAGGTGTGAGACAATTATTCCCTTCAGGCGCTCCTGAGACATGGTGCTCAGGAGAAATGGGGCGGACTGACAGGACGACAGATTCCGCCTCCGGCCACGTCTGTCGCCTGCGCAGAAGCATAAAAAGAAATCTGTGAACTCCATCAATCCGCTCCTGTCAATTCTCCAACTTGAGAGAACAGACTGTAACAGACGGACAATATGTGCTTGCTAGTTTGGTTTGCAAATGTTTTTTTTTTTTTTACAAGTCTGCCAGCTTACTCCCGCTGCCCTTTTCCTTTCTCTGAGGCTGCCCGGCTGGTTTAATCAGGGAAAGCAGCTGAGGGACACAGAGAGAGGGGGGCTTGTCTCTAAGCCCGGCTGATTTACTGGCTCCCCGGACCTCCTTTATATCTCGCCGGCTAATAGGGCTAATCTGGCAGCTTCACACACAAACAAAAAAGGCAGGTGGTAAACAGACAGGCTGGCAAAGTATACAGAGGTAAGAAGACGCACACAGGAGGGGTGACGTCAATTCAGGAAGAAACAAACAAACATCCATAATGTGTAAAACATACAGCAAAACATGGATCAAATCAGATCAGGCTATCATTTTAAAGGGATTGTCTAAATTTGTTTTTTTTAAAGATTCAGATGCTGCTAATGTTCGGCATGATGACCTTTAATGGTCTTTATATAGACACATCAAAGCTTCAGAAATACACCAGTAGGGTTTTTAAACTTTTTACTTTTATTTTGTAGAGCAAAAGGTTAATATTGGGTAAGCTTGTGATAACCATAGACCTTATTTTGGGCCTCAACCTGTTGACTTTGAGAACTGGAAGTGCTAAAATGCTAGTATAATAATGAGCTGTCCTGCACACCTGTTGTGTCTGATCGTCCCTCAATCAGCTGTGTCTTGCTGCCTTCATGCACCTCGTCACCTTTTAGTGTCCTGGGTCACCTTCTATCCTGCTATGACTTCTGTTCCTCGTCTCTGCTGTTTACCTGTTGCTTTTATGTCTAGTCCGTCTGCTGCATCAAGCCTGTATCGACTCAATTTCTCCCAGAATACTTAAGTACGATATCTTTCACACATTTTGAGAAATGAACAGAAGACAAAAACAAAAACGGATTGTTACTTATTCTTGCTTGTTGCATTTGAAAATAGAATTTGATAAGGACAAATATATTAGAGTGCATAAACAATATGAAAGTGATGCATCTTATGAGACACAACTTGTGAATCATTGAGTTTTAGAGGTGTTCATATGACTGCCTTTTTGATCTTTTTATATTTGTTGATATTTTATGATTTTTTTTATAATGCGAATGTTGGATGTTGGAGGTTTCACGTTTTTCCAAATTGATCTTTAGACATAAAAAAATCTTAGAACCCGATAATTAAGCTCTTTTCAAGTCGGAAACTTTTAATTACATTAACTCAGTTTGACATAAACGCAGCATCCACACTGAACTTGGACAACCTCCAAAGGAATATCTTCTTTTTGAGTCATTATAATCAAAATGGAATTCGGCGACTTCATGTAATTACCAGCAAATCTCTGCTCACCTTGAATATGAATAGAGATCTAATTAGCTGAAATAACTGTGTAGGTGTGCAGTCTCTTTGACAATGAGCTGTAATACTGATGCGTCGCTGGAACACCTTCTCACAAGAAATGGCACAAAGCAAACAAACAGCACGCTCTGAAATGATCCTCAAACATTGATTGTCAGCAGGATGAGGTCTTTAGTGTCAATTTCGAAGGATGTAATTATCGCCAAAGGAAGCCACAGTGGGAGTTTGTGCGAATGAAAGGGCAGTCAGGGTTTGAATTTGTAGAACAGAGACTTATTTTGATGCCAGGTGTAAACACAACACAATATCTTGATCAAAAACACATTGAAATGCTGCGGGTCATTGCGAACACGGATAACCCTTTTCAGAAATAAATCGGATAGGGACGGAGCTATGACAGATTTAGTTTGTCCCCTCTGCTTTTCGAGTGATGAAGATGGATATACAGTGTGGCAGTTAGAGAGACACATACGAGTATTTAAAGACATTCGTGACGGATCCAGTGTGTCACTTCTGGACACACATCCATACCTTCAGTCCCATATGTGCGCACACACACAAATCACACATTCATAGTGCCACCTTAAATCACACGTTCATGCAGACACGGTCCGCACGAGCACTCCTCCTATTGCTCTCACCTTCGCCTGTTGCTAAGTAACAGCACATATCCAGAGATTGTTTACACAGCCTGTAATATAGTTCATCTCAAAGGGGCGCTGAGACAGAGACTGATTACACAATGGAAAGATTAAAAGAATAAAAGGTGGTCGGATTTTTCGTAGGCAAGCCGGCCGTGATGTAACACCACTGGTCCACGGTGTGTTATGAGAGATGAGAGAAAATGTTTTATGATATAATAATGTGCTGCGGAACCAAATACATTTGTTTAGAGGTATTGTGAAAGGGGTGGCTGCTGACACAGAGTCAGTGTCATGAATCGTCTTTGTTTAGGTTGACCTCGAGGGCCAAAATGATGAAGCACTCCTCTTATAATGGTCATAATATATACAGTCATAATAGGCCATACAATCAGTCTGATCCATTGTTAAAATTCAACACAGCCTGAAGCGGTACACACATTTTTATGTGGCAAGATGTGGCGTTCTGGCTTAGGGTGCAAAAACAATACAATGCAATCCATTGAGGCAGATTCGAGCAACAGGTCCATGCATTTCAAGGCTTTTCAGAAGCTAAAACACTTTCCAGAGTCAAACTGTTTTATTTTGGTGGCAAAAGTTGAGCAAACTTTTTTGAGTAGGCTGCATGTTGTCAGACAGTGTTGATGTCTGTCTGAAAAGGAACGGCCTTGATTGCCACTGTGGTTTAATGAAGGAAGAAGTCTATAAGCAGAACGATTCACAAAGTATCTCCATAGTGATTTTATAAACATGTCTTTCATGCAATTTGGGCAACAATTTGATTCTCTGGCTTTTCAAAATAAGAGTAATGAACTGAATTTGGTCTGCAGAACATTGCAGTTTCATCGTCTATTTACTTTCAAAAGCTATGCGGATGCTTTTTGTGGACAACTGAATACCACCAAATATTTTACTAAAAACACCTTGTACTTTTACTTCTGAGCATTTTCATTTGGCTTTCTTGGTGTTCACCGAAAGAACGAGATCGCGGGTACAAGCGGCCGAGATGGGTTTTCTCCGCAGGGTGGCTGGCGTCTCCCTTAGGGATAAGGTGAGAAGTTCGGTCATCCGGGAGGGACTCAGAGTTGAACCGCTCCTCCTTCGCGTCGAAAGGAGCCAGTTGAGGTGGTTCGGGCACCTAGTTAGGATGCCACCTGGGCGCCTCCCTAGGGAGGTGTGGACATTTCTCGATTTATAAGATGCATCGCGAGACCAAGGGGTAGACCTAGGACTAGGTGGAGGGATTATATCTCTTCGCTGGCCTGGGAGCGCCTTGGGACCCCCCAGTCAGAGCTGGTTGATGAGGGGAAAGGAACGTGTGGGGCTCTCTGCTGGAACTGCTACCTCCGAGACCCGACCACGGATAAGCGGGAGAAGATGGATGGATGGATGGATGGATGGTGTTCACCGTTTAAACCCCAACATTGAGTTGTGTAGCAAAGTGAAATTAACTTAAACAGGACAAGAGATGCTAGATTTGTTCAGACATGCCTCGCGTGAGTGTGACCTCAAGCTATAACTCTCCAACACCTGAGCAGTTTTTCAGATGCTCTATTGTAGAAGCTTTCAGAAGTGAGTATGTGTTGTGCGCTTGGACTCGTGCTAGGTTACCATTTTGGACTTTCAGAGTCGCTTTTTGTAAGATGTTCATTTTATGTGCCAAATTTGAAGGAACTCCGTCAAAGAGATCCTATCAAACGATGACAAACGGACAAAATAACACCTGCCCCATTAAGCCCTTTTGTACGCTGCTCATTTGACCTCTATACAATTTTAAAAGGTCTGTTGTCAAGGCCCAACCTGGAGAGTAATTGGGACCTGTATTGGAGGTGACATTATTGAGGAATGTTTTCTCACTCACATGACCGTGTTGATTCCCGAAAGCTGCTGAAACATCTGAAGACCACAGCCCACCAGGAGGGCTCGCCGAGTGGGGGCGTAGGTCAGCATTCTCCAGATCACAGGGCCATCTGGAGACAAGCAAACGCACAGCAGAATTAATATCCAACTCAGCACGACAAAAATGACACAAGCGTTATCAGACTCCTGGTTGCAAGAATAAGTAAATAAGACCGTACTTTACTAATAACCTTCTACTCTTATTTCCTCACAAATCATTTTCTGGCAAATGTATGATCTCAATAATAGTTTACGTCTTCTTCAAAACGTTATGATGGATTGTAGAATTAGGTCCAAAATGGAGTAAAATAGACGAAAAAGCAGGGTCTGATTAAGGGCGGGGCTACCTTTTGATTGACAGGATGTCAGGTCTGGATGCTCTCCTTGATATTGTCCGACAGCTTTAACCATCAAACCGTTTTCAGTTGATAAAAGTAAACTGTAACACTTTGGTTGCATAAAAATATTTAGTTTAGCCTTAAGCAAACTGAGTTCCACCCTCTTGTGTCACTTCTGGTTGCAAAAAGAACCCAGATGGCAACAGCCAGTGCGCCACACTTGAGGGTTCAAAACCTTTATTCACAAACCAATGGATGACATCACGATGATCAAGTCCGCTTTTTATTTACAATCTGTGTTTTTGGCCTTGTCCTTGAACTCTTAGCAATAATCTAATTTCCAAAAATGTATTGCTGCTTTTTTAAATGAAGGAAAAAACTGGGCTGAGTATATATTTATATTTCTAAAAGAACACATAGAGACTCATTTTGTCACTTCTGCTGGCTGATCAATTCCCATATTCATAATAAATTCATGATTTGGGCATAATGAGTAGACATAATGTCCTCATATTGAAGGACCGAAGTTCAAGCCTCTGTGAGAGCAACCATCTGCCCTACGGACATTTCTCTGCACACAACACAGAGGATTTGTCAGCTCCGGGGAAGCTGTCTCTTGAGGATGTGCATAGCACTGGAGCTGTTCTTTCCTATGGTGAATGTCTCAATTAAGGCAAAAAACACTAATATTTGACGGCAGGCTTTGGCCCCGCAGAATCCCACTTGGCTCAGCAACAGAGCCCCAGACTGTGATGTTCAACACACACAGACATGCGGCTCCTTTGGGAGGAGAATCCTTAATAGGATGAGAGAGCTGCTGGACAGGCAAGGAGCTGAGGGATAAAAAAGCAGTGACACACGGAGCCAAGAGATCAGACAAACACGCCTGAACACACACATACACGCAGGAAAGACACACACATACACAGGTACAATTGTGTGCAGGAAAAACAAGAGACTGTGCAAACACACGGCAAACAAACATATCATAAAGAAGGAAGCCTGCACATACGACATGCTGATTATTTGGGAGCAGCTGTGTGTGGGTGGACTCTGGACTAGTGGACATCTCCTTTAGCAGATTGACAAGCTGAGTAGACTTTGAAAAGGAAGCCGGCAGGCACAACACACTTGAGCCTTCCCTTTTCAATGGACAACTTTTGAGAAGGACCCTTATTTCCCAAAAGTATTTGTACAGTAGTTTTTTACAAAAATACCTTTGATTCCAGGTTTAACAGGCAAAACACAAAATCACACAACTCTCCATCATCGAAAAAGCCGAACTCTTCAAGAACTTAAATACATGCAAGACTAATCACAAGAAAAGACACAGCTGGGGAGGGAAGGAAAAAACAGTTGAACAGAATCAAGTAATCAAACAGGAGGGACGACACAGGGACAGGAAGTAAACAGACATAACACAGGGGGGTGAAGACTTTTCAGAATAATACAGGAAACTGGTGTGACAGATCGTGACGGAATTTTTTTTTACTTTCAGCTTTTTGTTTGCATTTCCACTGCAGAAGCCACCTCTCGACCTTTTAAAGCAACAAGAGGCAACTTTAATAACAATCTTATGCAGTCAAGTATAAGAAACACCTTTCGCTGATTAAATCATTAAGTCAAAATGCATGACTCGTATTTGGTCCATTAGGTTTTGTGTTTGTCAGCAACATGAACTCAGCTTTATCTCTATTAAATTGATTTGGTACTGCATCTATTAGAGTTGAACAGACACACACATAATAATCTGTATCTGTTCGACCAACACAATTAACCATCTCTGTATCTTTATTCGGAGAGAAGGTTTATACTGGAAGTCACATTAAATGTAGCAAATATAAATTGCTTGTGTAATTTTGTGCCTTCAAAGCATCAAATTGAAATATTAGCAAATCCTTAATTTTATTTTATATTTCCACATCCTTATAAGGTATTTTTCATCCCTTTATCACTATTATTACAAAAAAAAGCTGTAAAGACATGTCTGTCACAACAGGAAGTCATCATTAAGATACTCCATGACTGTGTGGCAGAGGCTGTTCCAAAATGCATTATGGGAAATGTAGGATGAAAGATTTTAAATATAGTTATATCTTTAAGTTTTAACTTCAAAAGTCGGTGTCTAATGTGAAGCAGAGCCCTAACCTATGACAGGGAAGAGAAAGTGATGCCTTTATGGGCTGAGCCATTTCCATGGCGCTAACGTGGTGAAGTGTGATTGGCCGATCCCTCGAGACTGGAGCTGAGGACCTTTATCTGATTAGCCGACAGGGAAATCAGAATTCATGGACTGAAGTATGGAGAAAGTGGAGACCTGATGGCTGCCTGAAGAAGAGCTAAATATACTCAGCCAAACACTGACATAGACAAACACACTTTCAGATGCAATCAGTCATACAGACACTATACTTAAATTCTCCCTTTGGGGTTAAGAATACAATATATTTTCTACAAAAATACAATTTAAAATGCAAATCATAATCGCTCCACAGCAAGAAACATATTTTCCTACATGCACAAACACACACAAGCTCTCCAAACATACAGAGCGTCATTTCCTCAGCTGAACGCCATCCAGCTGTAATTGAATCAGATGAGATATTGAAGAAGAAGGATGGCTTTGACAAAACAGTCAGCGAGCAACCAGCCAGCTACAAGCACGGTGATTGAATCACAGCACTGCAGTAATTGCACGTCAGTATTTTCCATTGAATCTTTCCAACTATATTCCATTTAATACTGCAAACCACTATAACCTTAAATCTTCAAGCATGATGCCTCCAGGTGTGGATCAGCTCTTAATATTTATATTCGGTCACTGGGAGAGGACGCTGGCGCTGCTTGTTCGCCGCTTCTCCGTCTGTAAACTAGCTCAAAAACCTTTGTTTCTTTTACCTAAACCTGTTTTCTATCTATGTCAGTCTGTCTTTGAGTTTTGACGCTGACTTTATATTAGCCTACCAGTCTGCCAGTTTGTATTAAGTGAGCAATTGTATATTCAATACCTCCACTGCTGCAGTAGCCACCTACTGCTAACTCCACTCGTCCTTCGGCGTCCCGCTACAACTCCGGTCGGTGACATCGCTGGATCTTCAGCCACTACCGGTTTCTTTCTGCTTCGGCTAAAACACCAGTGCCTGCATCTTTGGCGACAGCCTGTCGCCAAAGATGCAGGCACTGGTGTTTTAGCCGAAGCAGAAAGAAACCGGTAGTGGCTGAAGATCCAGCGATGTCACCGACCGGAGTTGTAGCGGGNCGCTGAGCTCCGTGGAGGTGTGGTTTCCTTGTTTAGCGACAGCGAAACACAGCCAAACTCACCCTGAGCACACACAAAGTCACAGCCGAAGTAAAAACAATAAGTGTGGCTTGATATTGAGTAAGAAAAAGGTTGATAAACGCTGTGAGAATGGGTCTGCAGAGAGAATTTCGCCGCGATCCCAACTGTCTGTTATCAGCCTGCAGCCAGGGAGGAGAGATCAGCAGAGCTGCATACACTGAGTGTGTGTGTGAGGAAGTCCGTGGATTGGTCAATTTGGACCAATCAGCGGGGGCTTAACGTAACGACTCCGCGGACGTAACGTAACGGCNGGGGCTGGAGCTATCGGAGCTACAACGAGCCGTTAAAGGCAGAGAGTGAAATTCAGTGAATACACGTAGTTTACAGAGATGCTGTATGAGAAACCAAAGTGATTTTGGAAAATTGCACAATATAAATCTATTCTAGTAGACCTCAACAATGGAATTATGATCAGTGGAAATGGCCATGAAATGGGACCTTTAAAGCATCACTGTGCAAAACCACAGCCTCAGATATCAACTAGCATAGCTGTTGCCTCTTATTGTACCATAGCTAGCTTGATAATGCTAGCCAGAAGTAGATTTAGGAGTAGATAAAGATGCATTTGAGTGTGTTTCCACTGCTTGTTTGTTTTCACCATTGGTCTGTTATAAAATATAAGTTTATAAGGATAACATGTGGATAAATGTTGGCAATGAAACCAAAAATCACTCTCTTTAACACTCACCTCTCTCCACTCCTTGTTGCCCATGCCTTGTGCGTAAAGAACACATACTGTGGACAAAATGAACACATAAGATAACATTTAGAAACATGATCAAACCCATGCTAATAGCATAGTTTTCAAGCTTTTTTATTCTAAAAACCTTCCTAATTATCAATATACTACCTGACAACTGTACGAAAGGATTGTAAATTATAAAATCATATTATTCAAATGGTGGATAAGCTAACAAAGGACAAATTAATATTACTCTCATATAACACCAAGCTAAAAGTGTTATTGGATCCATCCGAATATGCCTAACAAGCCATGAATGCAGGAATTATGAATAATAAAACTACATCAAAGCACCTAATAGTTTTATTCATGAAGCCCAACATGTTTTCTGTCTTAAGATGGTGAAAGACATCATTTGCGAACATTATCCAATTTCCCCTTAACAGGACAATTTAATAAAAGGAAAATTACTGAGCTCACTCATCATACACTTAATTTCTCGAGGCCTTTGATGTGCCTCTCAGATAAGTACCAGAAAGGATGTAAAAATGAGAATGTACACACACACACAAACACACACGATATTTCGTCTTATTTCTGGGGTCTGATAGATCATATATTTCTGGGAAAAGAACTTCTTTGCGGTTTTGGATGCTTATGTATTGAAGGGTTTAATGACTCAATCCTGCTTGTACCTGAAAGCAGTGGTTG